GCGATATGCGGCGTCTATCGGCTTTGGGCGTGCCTCATATCTGGGACTTGGCACAGTGCAACGAATGCAAAGCCGAGATTCAGGTCACCCGCTTCCACTGCTTCCAGTGCGGCGAGGGAGAAAACGAAGGTTACGACTTGTGCAGGTACAAGCCTGGGCTGGCACACATTTGAAGGCACGCGTGGCATGAATGGCTGCGGCGCACACGTGACACACGCAACGTTTGTGTTGCTTGGCGCCCACAGGTCGTGTCTCCCCGAAGGGATGCGCAAGCATAACCCCAAGCACCAATTCCAGATCGTGGAGCACCTGGACATGACCATCGACACCCTGCAGGATTTCCTGGTCATCATCAGGGAGCCACAGACCAAGTGTACAACACACTCTAGCTCGCCGTGGAGGCCAGTCATTGGCCTAGAGACACCCTGAGGGTTGCTCACTCCATTCACCTTGTGGCGTGCAAACGAACGCACACAGGGGTGAAGATTCGCCGTCCCTACCCTGGCGTCTCCGTGTACGAAGTGCGGTTTGGACGCAAGCACCTGTTCTACAGCACCACCCTCGCAGCTCAGGTCTCGCAGATCGCCCGGTCCTTCCCCCAGGGTACGCCCGTACTCTGTCACTTGACTCTCTGATCAGCGCTCTGCTCAACACGCCTTTATTGCTGTGCTTTGTTGTCGACGCAGGCCTGAAGGTAGTCAAGGTGGCGGCCGAGGTCTGTGCACGTGAGCTGGCCGAGCAGGAGCGGCGGGCAGTGCAGCCGCTGCCGGGCTGTGCGTTCACCGAGATGGAGGTCGAGTACGTCATGCAAGCGACCGGCGCCTGTCGGGAGCGGGCCACCCAGGCGCTGGCCGAGTACGGGAGCCCTGAGACGGCGGTGCTGTTCATCGGCGAGCAAGACGAGGGCGGGGACCTGCTCGATGACGATGACGATGGTGACGACGGTGAAGAGGACGGCGAAGATGATGAGGATGCCGAAATGGAGGACGGTGACCCAGCAACAGATGAGAAAGACGATGGAGAGGACAACAACGACAACGGAGATTCGGAGGAAGTGGACGACTTCGAATCCTGCTGAGAGAGTTCGTGAGAGCGGGCGGCGCTGATTGGCTGACAATGCGACGGAAATTGGTTGTGGTTGGGTTTGGCGGTGTCGCCAGCAGTCACTCTGTTCATAAGGCAATCAATTTAAAGTACACCAGGAGCAAGTGGCGGCCGAAGATGAAGACACCTCCATTGCTTCCGTTACTATCCGTCCTTCTTGTCGTATTGTCGGGGCTTGCCTTCCGCCCTTCTGGTCCTCTCCCGAAGCCCTCGCTTTTTCATCAACCAGCACTTCTTACTCCTTCTTCTTGGGTCACTCACTTCAACTTGGCACTCCCTCCACCAGACTGTGCGTCTGCCCAACTGAACGAACTGTTTCGGGACGAGTTTGATGGCCCGCTCTTCAACACAACGGGCGGCAAATGGGTCGCAGGCCCTTTCATGTACCACCCCATTCTTACCGAGTGTAGCTGCACGTAGGCAAGAGGCGCGCCACCAACGAACCATTAACGCCCCAATGTCGTCCGGTCTCTCACATGCAGGGACACGGTCGCCAAGATCAACACGACCGCTCGGGTCCTCACCTTTGGCGTCGTTCCTCCAGACAACACCATCGGCGCAGGAGACATCTTCACCAAAGACAGGTTCATCAGCAAGAGCGGTACCCCCAAACCTCACCCCGACCATTCAGTCTCGCTGACGCAGTGGTCGATTGAATCGGTGGTTCAAGGCTTCTTCCGCTTGAAGTTCGACTTCATGGGCCTGCCGACCTGCACGCGCGCCTTTGTGGGCTGGTACACCATGATGCCCATTAGATCGGACTACAACGTACGCCACTCTTTCCTTCTTGTGGTTTCGGCTTGATAAACTCACGTGTGATCGCTTGTGTTTTGTGTGCGTGTGTGCGTGCGTGGGTGTGCTTGTGCGCGTGTGTGCGTGTGTGCGTGCGTGTGTGTGCTTGTGCGCGTGTGGTTGTGTGGTTCAAGTCAACCGTCTTCGGTCGGCACGGGTGGTTGGCTTCAACTGAAGGGAGCTACTGTCAGGACGGTGTACGTTGTGCGCGAGCGTGTAGAACGAAGTGGACTGGAGGGGGCGAATGTTGCGGAGGACTGATGCAGTGCTGTGCAGAGAATGAAGCAGTCGACGTGCGACCAGAGCTTCACGCCGCTCATAGCGAACTCCACCTGGATCGAGTACACGATCGAGCCTGCCCTGGAGTCCCTCATCGACTATCCGCGCAACGACACTGGTGCGCCCCTTTCTTGTAGTTCTACAAGTCCGACCCGCTCTCATCCCACTCAGTGTTGGCGGTGACCACGGTGCAGCTATCGCCGAGGGAATCTACCTCACCATCGAGAGTCTGGGACCCCAGGGCGATGCCTGCTTCTTCGACAACATCGTGCTGGAGGAGCTGATCCCCTCCACCAAGTACGCCACCGTCAGCGCCTCAACTTCAGAGCTCTCACAAGGCATGATGGTGATGCGGATGCTGATGATGAATGCTGCCCAGCACAACGATTGTCTCCGCGGGTGACGTGGATGTGACCTTCAAGCTCAACTCACCCTCCTTCGTGCTTCAGCCCAGTGATGGAGGTACGTACGCTCACGTGTTGTCCCCTCGATCGCCCAATCGACTCGTCGACCTGACCAATCCACTTTCCACACAAAATAATTAGCTGAAGGCGACGAGGCAGCCAGCGGCAACTTCGTGCGTGTGCTGGAGATCAACGGCACCACCCTCCTGCCCCAGGTCCTGCGCTACGTGCCGGGAGTGGACTACACCCTCAACCGATCCACGGACGGCGTACGCCACCCACTGACTGCCCCCCCCCCAACTTCTCTTGGCACCCATTGAACTGACAGCGCGGACTTGGCGACCAGGTCGTGACGTTCTCCAACTCGTTGCCTCTTTATGGTATCAAGGAGGCCTCGTGCGCGTTCTCGTTTGCCACCTTCTCCCAGGGTACGGACCCGAGCACACAGCCCCTGATCGTTAAGAATGAATCGAAGCAGCTCACAGTTCACCGAATGTGTGTGGGCAGATGGAGTGGTGGACACGGGGCTGTCCAACTTCACGGCGCCGACGGGCTCGCTCGAGTGGTCGCTCACCCTCCGCCACTGGCCCTTCATCAACCCGAGCAACACGCTGCTCCTCGAGTTCGGCCTGTCGCACTTTGCCAGCGCGTCGGGCCAGGGCCAGTACGTGATCGACGAGGTGGAGTTCGTGGCGGCGGAGAAGACCCACCGCTACACGCTGCGGGCGGTCGCAGACGACACCAACTCGTCGCTGGCCTCGGGCCTCGTTATCAAGCTGATCATGCCGCTCGTGGCCACCGTCGACGGCGTCGCACGCTCGATCGATGCGCCGGTGCTCACCACCGCGGTGGCGCTCGCGGCCATGATGGCCAACACGTCGGCCTTGTCGGGCTCGCCCGTGTCGGCGCTTCAGGCCGCCCGGGGGGATCGGGTGGACACCATCGCGTTCGTGTTCCCCAGCTTCAGCCAGTCCCTCACCTATGACCCCAATCTAGGGCTTCTTGTCGGTTCGTTCTTTCTCTTCGTTCTTTCGCTCGTGGTCTGTGTACGCGCTAACTCGTACAGCGTTCATAGGAAGGCAGGACAGTGGCAGCAGCAGCAGCGATGACCACACGCTGCTGATCGTGCTCACCACGGTCCTCGTATCGTGCGCGCTCCTGCTGGTGATCGTGGCGGGCGTCGCAACGCTGGTGGTGATGAAGGTCAAGGCCAGTCGGACCGTCACGCAGGAGGAGTTCGTGCAGCTCGACCACCGCTCCGGTCTCGTCGATGAAAACGCTCTGTAATCTAATCTTATCAATTCATTCCCACACTCGCTTAGGCGTGCAAGATGATGTGAAGTCGAATGGAAAAACTGTTCATTTTGTACAGAAGAGAGAGACAAATGATGATTTCTCAGAGAAGAGAATCATTCACTAGTAGGGAGCGGTGACGGTCTGGGCCGAGCCGTTGTTCACGATGAACTGGAGGGACGACTTGCAGGGCTGGCCGTTGGTCGAGGTGAAGGTCCACATGTAGGACGTCCACCCGGGCACCATGTCCACATAGCCCTGGCCGTTGCCACAATCGATCTGCACCGCGGTCGAGCCGGGAATCGTCACCGACATCCACCACGCGCTCGATCCGGCGTTGAAGGCGAAGCTGTCTGTCGTTGTGGTACCGCTGGCGGGCGAGGCCGAGGGGCTGGCCGCGGCCGAAGCTGCCGGAGTGGGCGTCACCGTAGCGGCCGCCTTGGGGGAGCTTGTAGGCGACGAGGCCACCTTCGGTGACGACGAAGGGGAAGAGGTGACCTTGGGCGACGAAGAGGGCGACACCGCCACCGCCTTAGGCGACGACGAAGGCGACGCGGCGGCCGGGGTGGGCGAGGCGGCGGTGGCTCCGCTGACGCAGACTTGGCCGGCCGAGTTGACGCTGAACGCGGTGGGCGCAGAGACCAGGCCAGCGAGCAGGGAGAGCTTGGCCGTGACGGGCGTGGACCAGTCGTCGGCCAGCAGGCCGCCGGTGTCGCCCGAGTCCGGGTTGAGGCACCAGAAGAACTGGTCGGTCATGTCCTTGGACTTGAGGTAGGCCGCCAGGGCGTCCATCCAGGTCGCGTCGCTGCCGCTGTAGGGTCCGCCCCACTCGCCCACCACGACGGCCTGGCCGGTCGAGGCCGGGATGTAGCCCCAGTGGGCCTCCCAAATGGCGGCCATGTTGGAGGGGAAGTTGCTGGCCGAGAAGTAGGACTGGCCGTACACATTGGGTCCGTACACGTGCGGGCTGTACACCAGCTTCCACGGGTTGTTGATCACAACCGGGTTCGACGCCACACCCTGATCGATCGCACCAAACCAACGGTGAGTTGCGCCCGCACGCACACACAAGCGTGAAGGAGAACGGTGGGCGTACGACAAGGTCCTCGCCGTAGAAGCAGGCGTCGGAGCAGGAGGGCGAGTTGGCGGTGCCCTCGACGAAGATGAGGAAGCGGCTGCTCACGCTGCTGGCTATGGCGTTGGCTATGCGGGCGGCGCCCTTGGCCCAGTCGGTGTCGGAGCCGGTGCCCCAGGTGGCCGAGTAGGGCTCGTTCTTGAGGTCGGCGGCGAACACGTTCCACTGATTCTGGTACCGCTGCAGCATCTTGGTCCAGCCCGAGATCACTGTCGACTCCGGGTTGTTGCTGTTGTACCACAGCCCATCGGACGCGTACGAGTCCGCCTGCGAAGACAGCACAGAATCGTAAGTGTCTGCGAAAAGAAGAACAACGCACGAACAACAAAAAGAACGAAGAACGAAGACAGGGAGGGGGGGTTACGGTGAAGGAGTGGAGGTCGAGCATGATGAGAATGCCGCGGTCGGCGGCGGCCTGAATGATCTTGTCCATCACCTGCAGCGAGGTGAGGCCCTGCAGGTCCGAATTGGCGCTGTAGTCGATGCTCCCGGGCGTGGCGTCGTTGATAGCCAGCGCCAGGTGGAACGGCAACTGCACCCATCATCGTCACCATCAGCGTTGTTGGTTAGCGTAACACTTCAACCAACAACATGTTGATGGCAAGTGCAGTGCGTACCCTGATGGCGTTGAATCCGTTGTCGGCGAGGAAGTCGAGGAAGAAGGTGTAGGACTTGGACCAGAGGCCGTGGGGCGCATTGATCGAGGTCTCGAAGCCGAACCACGACGCGCCCTTGATCCGCAGTCGGTTGCCATTGACCCACAGCCCGCCCTGCTCCGAGGTGAAGTTGAGTGCGGTCGTGGCGAAGCAGGCGTCGGCCTGGGCGGTGCGGAGGGAGCAGAGGATGCTGAAGGCGGCGATCGCCACAACAAACACAATCATGTAGCAGTGGCTTTGCGGGCCATCGCACACGACGTGGGCCACGCCTGCGAAGGCGAGCGAGTAGCCGCCCGCAGTTGCCCTGCATGAGATCTCTGGTCACTTGACATCACTTGATCCCGGCCGTTATGGTTCGGCCATTTAGTCGGCCCTTTATGCACGTTCTGCAGCTCCGCGAGCGGCACAATCCGACCGTTGGGGGAATGTGTAGGAAATTGAAAAAATGATTTTTGGTATAAATTTGTATTGTTGTGTATCTTTACAGAAGCGCTTGGGCCACCCAGCCCGAAGCCTCGTGGCCTGCTCTCATCCACGCGACTGCTTGAGGGTCTTGCGCCCGACCTGGCCCAGCTCTCGCTGCTGCTTCTTGTTGAGGTCGGCCGGCTTGCCGGCGGGGGCCTCCTCCGACTGGAGCTGCACTAGCTCCTTCAGAATCCGCTCCTTCTCCTTCTCCAGCTCGGCCAGCGCCTGTCGCATCTTCTCCTCCTTCTCCTTCTTCGCCCTCCGCGCCTCTTCCTCCTTCCTCTTCTCCGCCGCGGCCTGCTGCCTCTGCTGCCTCGACTGCTGCTGCTGCTGCGGCTTCTTGGGCGACGCAGTCGCAGCGGCGACCGCCTTGGGCGCCTGCTGCGGCGCTTCGGCCACGGGCACGGGCACGAGCACCTTGAAGGCGGCGACGTCGAGCAGGTTCATGGGTCGTCGGTCCCGCTTGAGGGAGCAAACGCGCGATCGGGCGGTGTGGCCCTTGACGCCGCAGTCGTCGCAGCGCGTTGGGCAGTCATCGATGTGGTGTACCCACTTGTCGTGTGCGTAGCACCGGTGGATGCAGTCGCGCTCGAACACGCCGTGGTCGGTGTCGCCGCACAGTTGGCAGAAGGGCCGGGTCTTGAACGGACACTCGGCCCACGTGTGCGTGCGCAGCTTGAGGCCGGCGCAGCGCGGGTTGCGGCAGCGGTCCTCGCAGCGGGTGGCCAGATGCCGATCCGAGTTGCACAGCCAGCACCTCTGGTCAGTGGCGGCCTGCTGCTGCTGGTGGAGGTGGTTGACGGTCTTGGTGTGGCTCATGTCGTAGATGATGTTCTGGCTCTGTAGATGCTGAGATGAGAATGGAGGAATGGAGTGGTGGGCGCGAGTACTTATGGCCCAGTGGGTCCGGGCCAGATCAGTGAATGTCCGTGCAGAGGCCCAGAAAAAATCCAGGGCTGTCCCACAATGCCTGCGCCCAACCACCTGCACGAAAGCTGGCCAGAATAAACCGCGAAACATAAATTGCAAAGAGAACTGCGTGAAAAACTGCGAAGAGATCCACAAATAAAATAAAACAAATTTGGCTTCAGTTGCTCCTTGTGGCCTTGGACGGAGCCGATGAGATCTTCTTCTTCCGCTGCAAGAACATGTAGGAGTAGTTCTGGGGGAAGACTGCAGGGCGGGCCGTGAGTGTCGTGATTAGGGTCAGTCAAGTCCCAGAGGAGGAGGGTGGAGACACGTACAGGCAATCGCCACCACGGCGAAGGCAACCACGAAGTAGGCGTAATCGAAGGCGAAGTTCCACTTGTTGGGCATCGACAATCGGTACAGGCTGTGCGCGTTGATGAACGGGAGCAAAACCCAGTACAGCGCCACTGCAGTTGAACGAAGTCAGCTGCGCATTCCCTGGCGAGCGCGAAAGGGTTGTAGTTCATCGACGTACGTTCGACCGAGAAGCCGACCGGGTAGAGTGGAATGAATAGCGTGTACCTGTGGGACGTGGTCAACGTCAGAGGTTGAGCAAGACCTCAGCGACGTCGAGTCAATCACAGAGAGGACTGCGAGAGTACCTCAGCCACTCCAAGAAGTAGGGGCACTTGTTCCACAGTGAGAGGGCATAGAACGGGTAGCGGACCAGCTCGATCGCGCTCCACGACAGGAACAGAGCGGTCACCAGCCAATGCGTGTGCACCTTTGAATTGGTTGTGAGCTGGTGCGCATTCGGTCACACTGACCATCATGAAGAACATGATAATGAAGAGCACCTCGTGGATGGGTTGGAGCGCCACCAACAGAAGGTGGTTACGGCCCACGACCTGCGCGAGAGACGGGAGCAGGCCACCGGGCACCAGGCCTGGTGGGGCAGAGCGCCATCAGCAATGGCCAAGCACAACGGTGACAAACGGTGGGTGAGGTACCGAGGGCGACGTGCACCACCTCGAGGCAGGAAGCCCACTGCAACGCAACTGCACGAAGAGATTGAGCATCACGAAGGCAATCTTTTGGGAGGCAAAGGATGTGTGAAGGGTGGGCAGCAAGTACCCACCACGGATGCGACGAGTTGCCATGTTTGCTCGTGGTGCCCTCCAGTGAGTAAGTTGCCAGCTACCCGCCCAAACACATAGTACCTGCGCACAATTCCAAATCTCTAAGATCTTAATCCAACGATACTTCGCGCATGTTGTTCGCACCATCCTACAGCCTGTATGAGATTGTAGGCCGTCAGGTAGAGCTTCACTCCAGTAGAGCTCCCCTTTTCCGTGCCGCCCCGCTGCTTGCGCGTGCTTGTGGCCGTCATCTTGTGAAAATGCGCTTTTATTGATTATTTGTACAAAGAAAAGATGGAGAGGACGTGGTATCGTGCCATCGGCTTGCTGTTGGTGCTGGTCCTGTGCTGCGCGGGCCTGGCAGTGACGTCGGTGCAGGGCGCGGGGGTGGAGACGAAGGAGAGTGGAAGGGTGATGGCCAAGCTCGAACGATTCTGTCAGGACAAGTGCCAGCAGCGGCTCTCGCCAGCGCCCGGCGATCCCGCATGCTCCCACTTCTGCGGGTTCGTCACACACATCCGTGTTGCCCATGAAGCCGATCTCTACACGCTGTTCCGCGATGGCCAACGAAACATCCAGCCCCTGGTGCGCCAGTCCCGAATTTGATTTATTGGTGATTTATTTACTAAAATGCAAGGGGCGCACAGATTTGGGCTATGAACGACATCGTGCAGGAGAAGTTGCAGGCCAAGCTTGATGACGAGGACGACCACACGATCGGAGAGCTCTTCTTTGAGAAGGCCAAGGGCTGGTATGCCTACCTGCACCAGCGCGACGAACTGTAACAAAAGTAATATAAAATAAAAAACAAAAATCAAAACAAAACAAAAGAAGTAACAAAAGAAAGTAAAAGATGAACCAGGGCAAGGGAGGACTGGAGAGGGTAGTAATTGGCCATGCGGCCACGGGTGCAAGCGCCGAAGTCTACTTGTTGGGCGCGCACCTCACCTCTTTCATCCCCAAGCGAGGTATACCCACACCTTCCATCTTAGAAGTGATCCTGCTCAGATCGAGTCCCTCACCCACTTCCTCTGCACAGGCGGAGCCGACCTTCTCTTCGTGTCGCAGAAGGCCGAGTTTGCCGAGGGCAAGGCCATCAGGTGCTTGACACCCACGCCGCTGCGTCCACTCAACTCACCCGTGTTGTGTGCTATGCTGTGTTGCGTGCGCGCGGGGGGGGGGAACAGAGGCGGCGTGCCGATCATCTTCCCGCAGTTCTCGGACATGGGGCCACTGACCAAGCACGGCTTCGCGCGTACGGCCCTGTGGGAGGTGGCGTCGGCCGCCGATAGCGAGGTGACCCTCGTGCTCCGCTCCTCCGAGGCCACCAGGAAGCTGTGGCCCCACGACTTCGAAGCCCTCTTCCGCATCGCCCTTGTTCCCCACGGAGGCACGCCCTTCTTTCGTGTGTGCGTGTGCTTATGCCTGTGCGTGTGCGGTGACTGATCGTTGTTTCGTTTCGAAAACAACAGAGGAAGCGGCATTGGAGACCGAGTTCACCGTGAAGAACACGGGCAGCTCAGCCTTTGCCTTCACGGTGGCTCTCCACACCTACTTTGCCGTGAAGGACATCCACGTCACCCGCGTGGAAGGTCTCCACAGGGTACTCTCCCCTGATACCGTTATTTTATTAATTTTAATAATTTGTATTTACATTGTTTTAACCATGTACTCGCTGCGTTGCGTGGCGCCGCGCACAGGAGGGAGAAGACCTGTACTACCTGGACAACACGCAGGGCAGGAAGAAGATCAAGGAGGAGAGCAGGGATGTCGGCTTCACCGGTGAGACAGACCGCATCTACCTCCACACCGCCGACGAGCTGCGTCTCAATGATACCGGTACGCGCCATCGCGCCCCTTGGCTCGTGCTGGCTGCTGTTCCGCTGACACTGGGCTTGTGTGCAGAGAGGGCGATCGTAATCAAGAAGAGCGGCTTGGCCGATGCCGTGGTCTGGAACGTGTGGGCCGATAAGGTCAAGTCGATGGCCGACCTCGGCGACGACGTACGTCTCCCCTTCCCATGTTCCCGTGTTCCTCTCCTGCTGAGTAGTCGGTTGACTGTTGGTTTTGTTGTTCTTTCCCCTCTCGATCGAAGGAATGGCCCAGGTATGCGTGCGTGGAAGTTGCGGCCGTGGAGCATCCCGTCCAGCTGAACCCTCAGCAGAGCTGGACCGGCAAGCAGACCCTCTACGAGCAGTCGCGCAGTCGCAGCCCCTCCGCTCTCTGATATCGCCTGCGACAATGCTGCTCGATCACAATGCGACCGTGTTCACTTCGTGTGAAGTCGCTACACGCCAGTGCTTTTTTGTCGTTCGCTCGTTCGTTCATCGGCGAATGGAGGCGCGGGCGCCGGCCTTGATGCCACGGATGATGGCCTGCTTGAAGAAGCCGTAGGTGGCCTTCTTCACGGCCGACCGGGGTGCCACCCGGAACAGCTTGTCCTGCAGCTCCTGCCTGCACCGCGACTTGACCGATTTCACCGCCTGTGTGGACCCACAACAGCTTCGGTTAGCCTCCATGTCCCGCGGTGCAAAGCTGCGGGGGTGGTGCGGGGTGTGACCTGAACGAAGCCCTGACTGAGGAGCACTTCCTTGGTCTGGTTCCAGTGGTGCCACTCGGTGAGACCCCGCTGGCGCAGTATCTCCAACGGCGTGGTGATCGCCACGGCCAATCCAGCACCGCACCCGCCTTTGCGGTGTAGACCGAGTGAGCACACGCACGCAACACACCACCGCACACGCACACGAACACGGGGAGAGTGAAATGTACCAGCGAGGGCGCTCAGGTGGAGCGGCAGATCGAGAGGCGACGCATAGCCGGCGCGATGCGCGATCATCTGTCCGAACATCTCCGCAAACGCGTAGTAGCAGCTGATGAACGGCGCGCCCGACGCCACCGTGGCCCAATACCTATGGCGGAGAATGTGAGCGGCTGAGACCGTGCGCGAGATGAGGCGCCACAGAGGAACGGTGGGACGGCGGTACCCGCGCCAGAACGCTCGCGGGCCTCCCTCGCGAAAGAGGTCCCGGGTGGCCTGCCACACCGACGGGGGCGAACGGACCGGCTCGGCGACGTGGTCGAAGTGACCCCGCACATGCGCGCTCCTGTAGTGTAATGGCACGCAACTGTTAGAGATCAGGTGAAGTGTGCGATGGTGCGTGCGTGCGCGTGTGCGATAGTGCCCGTGCGTGTTGTGCCTGAACAGGGGAATGGGGGCATGCCTGATGACGAAGATGGGGTTCATGAGGAAAGCCTCGAGCATCTGAGCTGAGAAGCCGGCGATGAAGCACACGCTCAAGGGCTGACACACCAACAGCTCCAACCGCGACCGAGTTACTGTTTACACACATCGTGAGACAACCCATCCGCACGCACGAACACACTCACGCCACACACACACACACACGACCGCTTGCTTCCTAGTACCACGCACACACACGGCACGCGTGACACACACACGACACACACACAACACAACACGCATACGCACAAAGACACCACAGCGTACCTCCTTCATCAGTGCGTCGCTTGTTGAAGGCGTTCAGTCGCACACTGATCTCCCGCTTGAAGAGGTCGTAGGAGGCCATGACCAAGCCCGCCACCGGCGCCTTGTTCGACGCAATCGACCCGAACTGCCGCCCCAACTCTGCCCACCCACCAGCACTCACGTCAGCACATAAGAAAAAAATTATCTTGTAAAATAAAATAAAAAAATACGCCGCACGTACCTTTGAGGTTGAGGGACGTGTTGCGCCAGCGGACGCAGTGCCGGGGGTCGGCGCCCTCGGTCTTGAAGACGGTGGGGTAGTTCCTGATTTCGACACAGAACAGCAGCAGCTCGGCGGTGAACCCGGCCGACGTGCCCGCCACGATGTGCTGCATGTAGGTCCACGCGTTGTCCGCCAACACCGACATGCGGGGCACCGCTGGCGGGGCGGCCTCCTCTGCCGATGACGGCGAAGGCGAGGCTGCAGGCGGTGCTTCCATGCGGGCGAGTGGGTCAAGGGTTCTTGTTCTGTTGAGCGGGAGTTCGGGTTCGTCGTCGGACGTTGGTGTAGACTGTTTACGCCCCTTCAGCGTCCGAAGTGCGCCAGAGTCAGGGCAAACCAACACGTCACACGTCCAAAACGTCGGCATCGAAGTTGTGATGTTCATTCGCTTGGATTTCCAGCATATCTCAGGCACATTGCAACACGATTTTATTTTGATTTTCTCACTTCTTTTTTTTCTTTCTTCTTTGTTGCTGGCTGCGTCTTGTGTTTGCTGCCCTGACTGTTGGCTCGCTCGTCCCGCCTGGCGCTGCTCCTCTTGGTCTCCGCTGCAGTGGTGGCCCTTTTGCTGCTGAGAAGAAGAGGAGGCGTCAACCAACAGCAGCGGGTCGCGGTTGTTGGGATGGGGAGTACCTGGCGCCTTGCTGGAGGATCTGGCCGATGTGGCGTGGCTGGATGCCCAGCCGCCTGAGCAAGACCTTGGTCGTGTCATCCTCCTCCACCTCCTTGCTTCGCATCAACCGGACCACCTCCTTGGCATCTTCCAGCTGTTGTGCGTATGCGCGCGTTTCAGTGTGTGCGGTCGTGTGCCAGGCAAAAACAACAACACAACACAATCACGGTAGAGCGTACGTCTTGGGTCGGATCAAAGTTGCGGAGGAAGGAGTTGTAGATGCGCACGCTGGGCGTGAGGCCGGCGTTCTCCATGTCGCTCACGATCTCGAGGCCGCGCCTCCACTGGCCGTTCTTGGCGCACAGGTTGACGAGCTCGTAGTAGTTCTCCTTGTCCAGCTGCAGCGCCCTGTTCCGGGCCAGCTCGGCCTTGGCCTGGCCGTAGGCTCGGAGAGCGTAGCCCAACCGCCGGCTGCGGAGGCACACGCTCATGAGCGTAATCAGCGTGATGTTGTCCGGCGCGACATTGAACTCGCGCTGCATCCGGTCCAGCAGCGACAGCGCCTGCTCGAGAGGTGGCGATGCTGTCGACTCTCTCGCCTGCGCGGCTGTAGAGTCGGCGGTGTCGGCTGCGTCGTTGCCTTCAGTGTCTCTCGCGCGGCAGGCGGCGATGAGCGAGGTGAAGGTGAGGTTGTCGGGCGACACGCCGGTCGTTTTCATGGTCGCGAGGAGCTCGAGCCCCTTGGCGGCGTTGCCGGTCTTGGCACAGAGGCTGGCGAGCGAATTGAAGGTGGACGTGTTGGGTACGACCTGGTGCTGGCGCATCAGGGCGAGCACCTCCATCCCCCTGTCCAGGTCCCGCTTCTCCACGCACACGTTCAGGAGCGAGTTGAAAGTGAACGTGTTGGGCCGGATCCTGTACAGGCGGGTCATGTCGTCGAACAGCTTCATCGCCGTAACTGGAACGTGATGGCATGCCGAGCTCCACGTCAGCACAGAGCCACGATCAAGGGCAGGAGGCGGAGAGAATAGGGGGGTGCGTAGTACCGAGGTCCCTCTTCTTCTCGCACACGTTGATGAGCGAGGTGTATATGTACACGTTCGGTTGGATGTTCTCGTCCTTCATCTCCTCGAGCAAGTCGAGCGCCTTTTTCAAGTTCTTTTCTCTGTAGGCCACGCACGCAACAAGAAAAGTCAGGGTTGGTGCCGGTCAGGTGTTGGTGTGCTGGTGCCATGTAGATGATGCCGGCGGGTTACCTCTCGCAGATGTTGACGAGCGAGGCATAGGTGAAAATGTTGGGCTTGACCCCCTCGTTCCTCATCTCCGCTAGCACTCGCAGCGCTTGCGTCAGATCATTCCTAGATGAACCATTGAGTGAGAAACATTGCCGTGTGTGTTGTGTGATGTGTGACGTGTGTGTGTTGTGTTGTGTTGTGTTGTGTTGTGTGTGTGGCAAGGCGGTCGCTCACCTCTTGCAACAAACATTAACCATGGCAGTATAGAACACGACGTCGGGCTTGAGTCCGGGAGCCTCGGCCTTCATCTGTTCGAGCACCTCCGCGGCCTTGTGCCAGCTCTCGACCCGCTCACAGTACTTGAGCAGGTTGGTGTAGGTAACGACCGTGGGCTTGATCTTCTCGTCGCGCATGTGTTGCATCAGCGCCTCGCATCGAGCCCAGTCACCGCCGGCCGCGAATATCTTGATGAGCGTCGAGAAGATCGCCACGTCGAACAACCTGGCCGAGTAGTTGTCGTGCAGCTTGTTCATCCTCTCGTAGAGCGTCTGGGCGGCGCTCATTCGCTCCTTGTCCGACAGATCCTTGACCTTGCTCAGGGCCGAGACCAGAAGGGCATAGTCGTTCCTGTGCTTGCCTTCGACCTTCTTGATCAGGGCCAGCACGCTATCATTTCCGCTTTTCGAGTCAGTATACGATGAGTAGTGTAGTCGTCAGCTACTACGCACCGTTTGATAATGAGAGGCGA